GTGTGTGTGTGTGTGCTGTGTGTGTGATGTGTGTGTGTGTGTCCTGTGTCACTGTGTACCTGCCCTGATTTGCCTTGTGTGTCGTGTGCCGGCCCGCCGCGGCCGCAATTTGTGTGTAGTGTACCCCTCAGCTTTTGTCTGTGTGTATGTGTGTGTGTTGTGCTATGTGTGTGTGTGTGTGTGTGTTTGTGTGCTGTATGTGTGTGTGTGTGTGTCGTGTGTGTGTATGTGTGTGTGTGTGCCTGTGTGTGTGTGTGTGTGATGTGGTGGTGTATGTGCTGTGTGTGTCCCGGTCGTGTGTGTGTGTGTATACCTGTGTGTGATGTGTGTGTGTGTGTGTGTGTTTGTGTGTTGTGTTTGTGACTGTGTGTGTGTGTGTGTTGCTTACATGTGCTGTGTTGTGTGTGTGTGTGTGTGTGTGTGTGTTGTGTGTGTGTGTGTGTGTGTGATGTGTGTGTGTGTGTGTGTGTGCGTGCGGTGTGTGTGTACGTGTACGTGTGTGTGTGTGCGTGTGTGGTCGTGTGCCCGCGCGCGGTGTATGATCGTGTAATATGTTATTATTTCATTACAAGAAAGATAAGTCAAGAAACCCGAATTTTCTTTGTATTTTCCTCATTTTTTCCCTCGCGGATTGAGGAAGGCTGAGGTCATCCAAAAGCAGATGGTGTTGGAGAAGATGTAGGGGAGAGGAGGGGAGAGGAGAGGGGGGAAGGGAAGGGCGGTAGGGAGGGAGAGGGAGGGAGAGGGGAGGTTGGAAGGAGAGAGGGAGACTCGGGGGATGGGAGGAGAGTGGAGAGAGAGGGAGCAGTGAGAGGGAGAGGGAGGGAGGGAGAGGGAGGGGAGAGAGAGAGAGAGGAGAGAGAGCATGAGAGAGAGAGAAGAGAGAGAGGAGAGAGGAGAGACGAGATGAGACGACCGAGAGAGAGACTTGGGAGAGATGCCATCCTATTGTCGATGGAGAGAGCAGAGACAGACCAGACCAGACAAATCGACAGACAGAAAAAACAGACAGAAAGACGTGAGTGATAGACAGTAAACCAAAGAGAAAAGAGGAACAGAAAGAGAGGAAAGGACCAGACAGGACAGAACAGAGGAGAAAGAGAACCAGACAGAGATACCGGGAGTAGAGGGTCACCACCAGTGTGCACCATCTTCGGCATTAACTTCAGTTTGTTTTACGAAACTTCCAACATGCAACAAAAAAGCACAAATCACGAATCTGGAGCTCAGAGAATTTTTTTTTTTCTTTTTTTTTTTGGCGAAAAAGAGACGCCACATATTGCAATTCTGGAAAAGAGCTTTCGTAATCTCTCTGTAGAAATGATAATTATCAAAAGGCTTTTTTTTTTTTTTTTTCTCACTAGGCAAAAAATTATATATGATCGTACAACCGCTGTATTCTTGGTTCTCTGCTAAGTTCAACCCGTTTGTCAGTGTCCCTTAAACGACTCGTTTCCATAAAACGATCGCTGTTTGATAGTTTCACAATAACCTAAACGGTTGGGAGGAAAAAGAGAGGGAAGAGATGAGAGACTGAGGTGATGGGCAAAGAGAGGAAGAAAGCGGAAGAGGAGAGGGAGAGGAAGTGGGAGTGGAGTGGAGAGGGAGAGGGCAGAGGGAGGTGAGAGAGGAGAGACAGATGAGAGAGAGATGAGAGAGACAGGAGAGAGTTAAGAAGAGAGAAGAGAGAGAGAGTGAGAGATGAGAGAGAGACAGAGAGAAGGATGTAGATGGAGAGATGAGGAGAGAGATAGGTGGAGCGAGAGAGAGAGGAGGAATGAGGATGGAGGAGTGAGAGAAGAAAGAAAGACTTAGGATTAAGGAGATGGGAAAGAGGGAGACTGGAGGAAGAGATGGAGAGAGATGGAGATTGAGGACTGGGAGAGGAGAGGACGGAGGGAGGAGGGGAGAGGAAGGAGTTGCGAGGAAAGACTGGGAGGAAGAGAGAGAGAGATGAGAAAGAGAGAGAGGAGAGGAGAGAAGACATGACGAGAGGAGAACGAGAGAAGAGAGAGAGATAGAGGAAGGAGAGAGAGATGAGAGAGAGAGACAACAGTACAGACAGACAGACAAAACAGACAGGACAGACAAAATACATATACAGAAAACAAACACAGAACGAAAGAGACACATACATAGTGAAACAATAGAAATTAGAGATAGATAAAAAAAGATAAAAAGGCTAAAAAGCACCAAAAAAGAAAAGAAAAAAACAAAAAAAAAAAAAAAAATACACCGCGACAGAAACACACACACCAACCAAACCTTCCCACAACCTCCTCCCCCCCTCCCCCCATCCTCACTTTGCAAATGCACACGCAAGATGGCGAGGAATTGCAAGACACTTTAATAGCCAACCAGACGGGGCTCTCTGTCAGGGGTGATTAGGAGACAGGAGTGCCTTTGGGGGGGAAGGGGGGAGGGGAGAGGAGGAAGGGAGAGAGGAGAGGGAGAGGAGTGGAGGAGAGGAGGGAGGGGGAAGAAGGGGAGAGGGGGAGAG